AACTCACGCTTTAATTCTATTTTTATGAGCTTTTCTGAAGTCCCTTGTGATTAAAGAATGGATATTTGGAGCCTTAACCTTGCATCTAACCCCAGCACTTGTGGTGTTGGGTACATGATTTAATCACTCTGGACTTCAGTTTCTTTATCTATAAAATGATCATGCTGACCATGGCTAGTTCCTAGGGTTATTCTGAGCATGCATGGAAATGTCCAAAAATGCTTAAGAAATGGTCCTGCTTCCTCTTCCTGTTTCATTCTCCTCCTCCACCTTCCCTTCCATCCTCACCCTGACCTGCTTCCTTCCTCCTTTATTCATCCCTCCTCCTCTTCCATCATCATTATCATCATTGTCATATCTTACCACGAGCTCGAATCCAATTATGTACCTGAAAGCGCCGTGTCATTGATGAACTATCACAAACATCAAAATATCCATGCTACTGTGGGCAGACTCACCTTGTGAAACTTGAGTCTGTGTGTGCACACACATGGGCATGCATGTGCTCGTGCACTCCTTTCTGACTTGCTCAGGGAAGGAGTGTAGCTGTCGGGCAGGTCAGATGTTGTGCATCAAGGCATGTGGTGAGCAAAATGAGTTTGCCTGTGGATGAGAGATCCCGCAGGAGCAGTCGGGCGGCCCAGCAGGAGGGGAGCCAAGCAGAACACCTTAATGATGGCTTAAGAAACTTACAAATAAAGCTGAGATTCCTAATGTTTAATTTCAAGTGACTGAACATTAACATTTAATTAACTCCTCACTGCTAAACCAATATTAAATCCAGGCAGAGGCTGGTGGCATCTCTTATATATGAGCAGCCTAGGGGTACACTCCTGTTATGACACCGTTCAGCAAGATGGAAGCCCACCCAATCACGTGGAGCCCTGGTCTACACATTATCTATGTGTCCCATGAGGCACAAACCTGTTCTCATCTATCTAATTCTCAAGACAAGAAGAGACTCATGCAACATGATACCCCTTGGCTCATCATCCAGGTATACCTCCCCCTAGTGGTAGGACTTTGGCCAAGCTACCTGAATAAGCTGAATCTCAGTTTCCATCTAGAGAATGGAAATTAACACCCACTTTGGGTGTTTCTGTAGGTTAGCAACATCAGACTTGAAACACCTAACAGAAGACCTAGCCCAGAAATGGAAGAGATGATTGTGCATGAGCCCCATTTCCTCTCCTCCCCTTCTCACTTGCTATGTCTAGACGCACTAAGCTTCTTGGTTCCTGTTAAGGACCAAGGACTGGGATCTATTTGACCTTATGCTCTTCGATTTGTTACCTTGGTCTGGAATCCTTTTTCCTGCCAGTCTCCCACTCTTTTTTTTTTTTTTTTTTTTTGATGCGCCCAGCGGGCTTTTCAAGCCACCGAGTCAGAGACTGGAACCAGGGTCAGTCACATGGGAGCCCAGCAAGGCAACCACTACGCCATCTGCTGGCCCCATAACCCACTATCTTTCCTAAATTACCAATGTTCTAATCTGAGGGTTGAAAACAGATGAGCACTGTACAGAAACCATCAGGTGTCTCTACTGAGCGGGCCCCTCTTTTTTTTTTTTTTTTTGTCTCTTAATTTGAGCCCAAATACCATTTCCTCAAGAGGTTATTTCTGGCCTCCCAGGTAGATCAGTTTCCCTTCTGCATGCCCATACCTTCCTCGTTATACCTGACTTTGACCTGGACGATACAAGATTCCATTCTCCCTTTTTTCTGATGTCCACAGAAAAAAATACTTGCTTCCTTTCATTGTTTTCCAAAGCCACTAGAACCTCACAGTCTTTCTTGCACCCTTTAGTGAATTAGTTTCTTTGTTGACTCACTAGTGATGTGTCTGACAACTCTCCCCACTTGCCTCAATAATCTTCTTCTTAACTATTTCGGCACTACAGTATGTTGTTTGCATTTGCATAGGGTTGCACGTTGTATGATAGAAGGTCATAGAAGGTCTAGGGTTAGTCCAGGTGCAGTTCAGTCTGCAAGTTGGGAAGGGAGTAGTTCTATTCCTTTATGAAGGCTTAACTGACCTTTGTTGAACCACTATGGAAGGTCATAATCTACTCAAGACTGGGATCAGAAATTGTGAACCCCAACATCAAGAGCCTTACCTGCATCTTGGGCTGGGTTCTGAGATGCAAAGAATTGGATAGCGAGGAAAGTGGATGCATCTCAGATGGGGTGAAATCTAGGGCATGGAAGATGCAAACGCGTCAGGGAAAAGAGGCAGTGTTTGCCAAGCTAAGGACAAGATTGCGGGATCAAGGTTAGGTTGGTCAGTTCAATATCAGAACCATAATCAATCCACATGATAAGAGTTTTTATTTCCTTGTAGGTCCTGGGAGGGTGGAGGGATGCATGATATGGCCTTAAAATGATCACGAGGCCAGAGTTAGGAAGAGGAAGGAAGTGGTACTGTATATCAGGTTTCAAAGATGGGCCAGAAAGAGGTGGGTCCCAGGAGCAAGGCAGAGATGTGTTAGGTGGTATCTCTGCTCCTTGATGGTGATGGTCACACAGTAAGCATTAATAACCTTTTGTGAGCTCTACTTATGCTCTAGGTATGGTACTAAGTGTTTTACTCATCAACATTTGTTTGATACCATGGGAGGTACTGATATTAACTCCACTTTACAAAGAAAGAAACTGAGGCATGGAAAGTTTAAAGTAAGAGAGAGTGCTTAGATTCCCACCAAGCTCTGTTCGACCCCAGACCTCTTGTTGTCTGTTGCTTCAATTCTTCCCTCTTGTTTCCATGTCACCCTCTGTGTGGCCCTCTTCTTAGTCATCACTTCAACATTGTTTACTTGTCACTTGCATGCTCATTGGATGATATTCATTGAGCACCTACTATGTGCCAGGCACTATGCAAGATCTCTGCTCTCTTAGAGCTTGCGTTCTGTGGAGAAGGTCAGTAGGCAAATACACACATGTGTACATAACTGCAAAAGATGATAGAGTCTAATAAGTGCCCTAAGGAAAACGTAATAAAGGTGTGTGATAAAGACAGCGGAGGGGCATCTTTGTGTAAGGAGGTCATTGTCACATTTATGCTGAGACCTGAAAGATGAAAGAAGTCAGTTATCCAAGAAGCCTATGGAAGAGCATCCTCCTTTTCTTAGCTCTCTTCATTACCTCTGACCTCTGGACGTAAGAGTCACATATTGGGTTTTGACCAATGGTGTAGACATGCAGGATGTCTTTGTGCCAGGTCACTGTAGCAGAGGTGTCAATCTACACCCTTGGTGGCTGCTCCTGCTCTGGCTCTGCGCTTCCGGAAATGGAAGATGTGCTTCCTTATCTTGGTTGGATTTGGCATAGACGCTCTTGTAGAGGCTCCCCAGAGTGGCTCATCTCCGGGCAGCCGGAGACCAATTATGGAGCTCTCCCTGTCCCAGACTTACTGCTGAGCCCAGCCATAAGCCGATACAGAAAATCCTCAATCCAGTGAAGTGTTATTTGCTTGAAATATTTGAAAGAGCCAGCTTGGCCCATCTTCAAATATTTTGTTAGCTAATCAAAGCCAGATTGCGGTCAGAGGCCATATCTAAATTTATTAGGAAAATTAATAGACCATTTAGATTTTATTGGAATTAAGCTAAAATACGATAAGCAGTCACACCAGAAGATAGTCATTAATTATTGCATTGGCCTGCGTGATGGGCTCATAATGGAATATTGACTTCTAGGTAAGTCATGGGGCTTCAGGACAACCAGGACAAGCTCTACCAGAATGTCCTCACTCCATCTGCTTGAGGGTAATTGGATGGGACACAGTGGGAGGCTGGTAAGTAGGTACCAGTCATGCTTTCATTGGGGGCTAGGCCCTGGTTCTTTATGAAGTAGACGGCCTGGTTTTGAATACTAGTCTCCAGTCGTTCATAGCTGTGTGACGTTGGATACGTTACTTAACCTCTCTGAGTTTTCATTTTCTCATCTGAAACATAGAGCTAAACATGACTAATAGAGTCGTGGGAATTATGGAAATGAGATGTGCGAGGTGACTGGCACATAGCTATTGGTGCGATGGTTACTGCCGTTGGCAACATCATAAAGAAGACAGATTTTTGTCCTCAAGTTATTCTAACAACACGTTACAATATGCTGGCCGGGCAAGCAGAGCTGGTTTCTCCTGCTGTGTGCCCCATAAAACGTAGAGTCAGTCTAAGTTCCAGAGGATCCAGGGACTGTGGGCCTCCAGGCAGATGGCCCAGCACAGGCAGAGCCGTGAAGGACTGAAACAGCCCGGCTGCTATGCGATAGCGAGGCGTTCCAGACCAAGGGCATCTCCCCTACACTGTGGTCCACAAGAACTGGAAGCTGGGTGTGGTGGACTGGATCAGTCACCTTTGGGCTGATGTCTGTGACTGCACATGTACCAAATGTGACTTACAGAAATGACCACTTCGTTTACTCTTGCTCGGTATTCCACTTGACCTTGTGGAAGCAGAAGGGAACATCTTTATAGGTTTCGCCAGAATGGGAAGTTGTGACCCGAGGCCGAGTGGTGAGGTTTCTCCTGGGATGTTTCCAGGTAGGCAACATGTCATCTGCAGGGTCAGTGTGGGTGTGGCCTGAATGTACACAGGATCGGACAGGCTTATTCAGGTCCGGCTCTGCCACGTGCTCCTGTGCCACCTCAGCCTCTCTGAGCCTCAGATCATTCATTTGCAAAAGGGGGAGTTCAGAATAGTGACGCCATTGGGCTGTGGACAGGATAATTGAAAAACATCAGACTATATAGTCACACAGCCCTTTACATGAAGTTGGTCCCTTCTATACAGCCAACGCATATTGGCTCCCAGAATATAAGTGTGGTATGTTGGATTTTTTAAAAATTAATTTAAAAAATAAGTGAAGAGTGATGCTATATATGGGCGTTGTTTCATATACTAAATATATACATCTGTCCTCAGAGAATGAATATGTATTTCTCCAAAGATATATGGGCATGAGTGATTTCTCCTATTAAGTGTATATTTGTCTATTGCACAGGCATCTGTGGAAGAATATGGGCATATGTCCTACTTACGCATGGAGAGGAATATAGAAGGAGAGGTAGGTATGGAAACTGTCAAATAAGACAGGTCATTTTAGAAAAGATAGGAAACTCCTTAAGGCTGGGGGTGTGGGAGGGTGCTGACTAACCCCATGACCACATGTGATGCTCGGCGTACTGAGGCCAATGGTTGCTGCTGTATTTTGGACTAGCCAAGAGCGCCAGGGGAGACTCGATCCTGTGGCCCACCCTCATTCGCCATGCACACTGTAAAGCGAAGATAACCAAGCCAAAGGAAGTAAAGCACCAGCTGGGGTGGGACACGCTGTGGCTGGGACCTGATCGACACGGGGTGGAGAGACCCAGAAAGGTTATCCCTTTGTGTTGTGATAGACAACATGCCCCCAGTGTGCCCTGGAACCCTGGCTGGGGTGTGGGTAGACATGGGCTCCTTTGCTGCATGGTAGGAAGGGCTCCAGAGAGCCAATGAGTGTGAGTTGGCCAGGGTGGGAGGGCCCAGGACATGGATCCAGGCAACTGCGATGAGATGGCCTCAGTGACTCAGGGCCCTAGACGTGGCTTATGACTTACTTTCAGGGTGACTTTGGGGACACATTGAGGAAGAGAAACAAAGGTCTCTATTACTCTTGTGACTGCCTTATTATTACAGAGAAGAATGTCTGTCCTCCATTGCTGCCCAGAGAGCAGAGAGGGCCGCTTAGAAATCCAAGCAAGGGCGACTTTCTACTACTGCCACATCCTGTTGCTGGGGCCAAAGGACACATGGGTGGAAGGGAGAGGGAGGCAGACCTGGGGAGGAAGGTGAGGTCATGGCTCACAAGTACCTGCCGCAGAGCACAAATGGAATCTAGCTTCTTAGGCTTGCTGTGGACTCAGGGAGACTCCAGGAGGAAGTCTGGCTCCAGAGTGAGAGGGAGAGCGAGATATTCCACACCGGGCTGCCTGCTCACAGGAGCGCCGGTCTTGATGAAAACACAAATGAGTTAAAAATAGGCCTGGTCCGGAGTGCAGTGGAAAGTGGCCTTCTAGGTTCCTGGGCATGTGTGTGACGGAAATGCAGTGGGCATTTTAATTAGATCCCTTTACCAGAACTCCTGACCTTCTGTGTAGCACATTAATGTATTTTACTAATTATAAATGCAATTAAAAAGTACTGAAATAAAATTAGGCTGATCTATCTAATTTACATTAAGCACTTTCAAATTATGCAGATTTTAAAGTCTCTCTCTCTTTCTATCTCTCTCTTTTTTTTTTTTCAATTTGGGTTTCAGGGTAAAATTGTCTGCATTAAAACAGCTGGAAAACAACCTTGTAGGAAAACAAATTTCTTTGCTGTGATTATTCTCGGTGTGCGAGTTAATTTTCGAGGCAGTAATATACTTAGCTGGCATCGGGCAGTGACTCAGAGCAGAAGACATATGCGCCTTGGAGCCGACAGGGACTGGGGCGCACGGGGGTGGGGAATGAGCACAGTTTGGTTACTTTGGGGAATGAGGTTGAAAGGCTAACTAGGCAAAAAAATAGCGACGTGACGGTGGCTGAACAGTTGAGATTTACAGAGCGCGGGCTGTAATGGCAGTTGCAATTGATAGACAAGTGCCATCCGGTGGGTTTACCCAGCGACGGAGGATTTCGGCTTCTTTTGTTTTGGTGGTGGTGGTTGTTTCATCCCTGTGCTGACAGGCAGAGAGTGATCTGGGTGCCAAAAGTATTGCCTAGCATCATTAAAAATCTGAACATTCAATTTTGCTGGCTATGGGAGTTATGTACGCAGAGCAGCTATATATTAGGTAAGGAAATGGAGCATAAAGGAGAGTGGATGCCTGGTGCTGGACACTTTCTCCCCGGGGTTGGCTGTGTGTGCTATTCTGCTGGGGCTGGGGGGAGAGAGGACCATCGCTCCGCCTGGGTCTGCTGGGGGCTGTGTTTGCCCGAGGAGGAGACCTTGCTGGGGCCTCTTTACAGATTAAATCTGATCTGCAGGTTCCTTGGAAGCAGAGGTATAATAAGCTCTTCTCCAGAGTTGCATATAAGCTCCTTAAAACGTTCCCGGTGTGGTTTAACTCCCCTAACTCAGTGCGTTCGATTTTATTTGCAGCCCAAACTTTGCCCTTTAAGCTTCCCGTCAAAAGGAAGCCTAAAATAATTCCCCAAATTGGAGATGTTGAGCTTGAGCAGGGAGAAGCTTTGGAAAGCTCTCTCTCTCTCTCTCTCTCTTTTTGCTAAAGGAGTGTTTCCTTTTGCTGTCAAAGAACCAGTCTTGCCTCCTGGACACAGAAGCCAATACAAGTGCTGGTCTCCAGATCATCTTTCCAAAGACAGCAGGACTGTGGGACGCTCAAGCAAGTGTAGGGTCGATGCCCATGCTCCTGTATGCTGAGGGGCAGAGGCTCAGGAGCTCTTGATAGGTTACAGTGATTCTTTGCTCCTACATCCTCCCAGTCCCCCCCCCCCTCCAGGCTCTTCTTGGTTATACTCAGAGATGGAACTGCTAATTCATAGAAGATGTGGAGAGCTTTCTGTCAAGGGGAGCGTGTCTGAACCCCATGTGGATAACCAGATGCTAAACTGGAGTTAGAACCTGTGGGTTTCTCTTCTGCCATACTCCAGCTAATCGCAGGAATTGCTTAGAGAAACCACAGTTTCTTCTCACCCTTCATTTTATCCATCCTGTATCCCAACCAAAACTCCCAAGCTGCCAACCAAATAAAACCTTAACTCTTATGCTTTCATTTTCCATTCTGTAACTACTCTGACCACCTGTACCCATAAGAGTCTACATCACCCTCATGGGCCCAGGCTTGGTCCTTCCTTGAAAACACAGCTCCAAGAGATCCTCTGTCCTATGTTATGGTCCTCTTTCTGTGGGACTCAAGAAGGATTTTGGAAGGTGGCAGAGGAATAACAGGTGGAGACAAAGCCCATGGGTTCTGATCCCAGCTTTGTCATTTGTGAGCTTGGGAACCTTTAGCAAGCCATTTAACTTGGCTGGCTTCGGTTTCCTCATTTGTTTTTAAGGATGGTCCTGCTTTCCTGGTAAGGTTGCACTTGGCATTGAAACAAAATTATGAACATGAAGCCCACTTGAGATGCTAACGTTCATTCTCTCACTCAACAAGGTACCATTTACTGGGCATTCATGGAGCACATAATGAAATAAAGCCAAGTTAATGAAGTGGTAGAGTTATCCTACAAATAGGACTTCGAGGCCCTGCTATATGTAGGGTGCCCTATTGGGCACAGAAAGGGTATGTCAGGTTGAACAGGATGTGTTATCTGCCTCCCTGATCTCCTGTCTTGCCTACAATTGACCTCATACTCTACTACGACGATGTTGGTTCAGTTGAGGGTTCAAGACTGCTCTCCTCCTCTGCCTCATGTCGTATAGTTCCCACCAGTCATGACACTTCTCTGTCTTTACATATGCTGTTCTTTCTGTCATGCTCTTCTCCACTTTTCAAACTCTTGCTCACCCTTCCATGCCCAGCTCAGAGATTCCCTGTGGAAGTCTTGTGTTGGCATTGCAGATGACCCCCTGCTGCCTCCATTCTCCCAGGGCCATATTGCCCAAGAGCATGTCTGTTTTCCTCTCGAGACCAAGAGCTCCTTGACGTCAAGGGCATGGTTCCAATTCATCTTGGTATCCTTCGGGACTAGCATATTGTCTGGAACTTAGAAATTACTCAGTGAATACAAGTTGAATGAAGAAATAATGCATGATTGCCTTGAAGAGGTGACTAATAAACAATGAGAGCTATAAAAAAAGAAATAAATGCATGAATTAATGGGTGTATAGCTGGGTAGATCGATGGATGAATGGATGGGGAGAAAGAGAGAGATGCAAGCATTCATACATGAATGAGTAGATGAACAAACAGTTGGGTGGATGAACACACGAGGTAATCAATACACAAGGGAGCACGTAAACTTGGTTTACTGGTAGTAGTCTTAATCCAGAGGGGTTTTAGAGAAACAGAGCTGTCCTGTCCAGTGATAAACCTTGAACCACAAGGAGAGAACAGCTTTGCATGGAGTCCTAGGGCATTTCATGAGTTAATAAATTTGAGGACAAATGAACATGTCAGTGTGCTGTGGATGCCACATAAGAATCGCACTCCACCCAGATGGGGGGAGCCTACCCTCTGCATGCTACATCGCTCCTCTCAGTCCTCCTCTATCCTCCCTTCCCTTCCTCTTCATGCTGTGATAGCCAAATCCTAATTAATTATGGTGGCCTTTCAGCAGGCTGGGCCTGGACACCAGGGTTTTCTCTGCAGCCATGTCTGCTGCCTGCCCTTGCATCTTGCCGAGCTCACCTCCCAGACGAACATACTTAGCAGGTGTTTTCCCCACATTAATAATCAGAATTGACACATTCTAAATGAGGCCCTCCTTGTTGTGCAGGGCAGCTTTGATGGATATGTGGGGGAATTGACGGCCCCTGAGAAATGTTTTTGCCATTACCAGCATTTCTCTGACAGGTTTTTAATAGTCCCATGAAAACTGCAGTATATTGGAAAATTTTGTAGATGAAGAGCAAAGGGCTTCTGTGACTTGGAGGCTCTGGGGTGGAAAAATACAGTTTTGGGAACACTGAGTTGCTCAAATAATGGTGCTCTTAAAAGAAGCTGATCTAGTGTTGAATTGGGTTGAAGGCTGGGGAGGGTGCAGGCCCTGGCTGAGGGTCTTTGAGAAGACCTGAGGTGGGCTGCAGGTAGCACTAAGCAATGAATCATGATTGTGAATAGAGCTTGATAGTCAGCCCTGGAATAGCGTCTAAACAGGTTGGAAGGGTGGGTTCACTCATTTACTCATTTATCTACTCAATAAGCACTTATTTACCTCTGACTCACATCACAAATACAAATTAGCCTCCATAAATTCACAATTCTATTAATTTATGGCCTTGGGCTATTTATGTAAACATGAATTCTGAGCCTCAGTTGCCTCTTCTCAAACATGAAGCTCTATGTTCATGTTCTTTAGAATTGTTTCTGAGGGTTGGAGATAAAAAATTCATGAGGCTAGCAGGTGGC